GCGGCACGGGAGCAAGGCTTGCATCAACCCCTCATCACAATGATGCTGGGTGATCGGGCATTGCCGACGAGGGGAACCGGCAATGCTAGTGCCAAGCATCTTTGCCCAAACGCTTCCTTAACAGTGGCCTCGTTTATGTATGGACAATGTGATCATCGCGTCCCCATCAGGGATTGGAGATTGAATGTGATGCCATGCTCATAATTTTTTATTTTTTATTTTATTTTATAAACGAATCTCGAGGCAGGAGCCCACTTAAACCACCAGTACTTGGCCCAACTATCGCCCACGGCGCTGCCCCGTTAACGTGTCGCGCTGGGTACCAGACCACAGATGGTTGGAAGCGTCAGCCAAAAACAAATTGAAACGGTACCTCGGCGCTGTGGTAAAAATTGGCGCACAAGGGCATTCCAAACTCGACATCGATAGTTGGTCAAAGTTCTGATGGTTTAAGGTGGTGATAACAGCATCCCCCTTAATTGCTCCGTGTGAGGAAGACTCTATCTATTGGTGGGTAAAAACACCTGCTGGAGAGTGGTGTTAGCATCCTTGCAATTAATAATATTAAGGAAATCAACAATTTGATTGAGCATTGCTAAGATGTATGCACCTATAGTACTACGAATTGTAAAGGAACCACTAGATTGTCTGGACACTGCTGAGATGTGTGCCTGTATAGTCCCGTGGATGCTACCCTGCGTATTTGTCTCCATGTCTCCCCACCCCTGTAGGCCCTGCATCCCTATGATTGACAACATTGGGGAAACTAGTTTTATGTTTGAGCACTGTTAAGGTGAATGCATCTATAGTTCTGTTGATAGTATAAGAAATCACTAGATTGTCCAAGCACTGTTGAGCTGTGTGAATCAACTGTCAAAGAATGGTCCGCAAGATTGTATCAGCACTGTCGAGTTGTGTGCATCTACAATCCTGTAGATGCTCGCCTGTAGCTTTGACCCTGGGTCTTCCACCCTGTCCTAAACCCAGTGGAACTCAAATGTTTTTTCCCCCTACCGTATAGCCTGAAAGTATTTTGATGTACTACTCCTATAGTCAATCCTTCCATGCACCCGCTTATCGTGCATCCCAAGAACATCGACCTTTGCTTCGCTTACATATCTTGGTCGCGGCTCCTCCATTGCATAAGCTTCACTTAGTCCCGCATCAGACGGGATTGCCTTTTGTCGCTCTCACCAACCCTGATTAAGTCTCTCCATCACCCTAATTAGTCTTGTTGCTTCCTCACACCGCTCTCTATTTTTCAATGTTTGGAAGGTTTGCATGTCGTTTACAGTCTGGAAAGCTTACCGCTGCCGTTATTTGTGAGTCTCGTTGCTTGATCAGGCTTGTCCGCAACGATTGAGTATGGGTGACTGCAGGAGTAAAGGGGAGGGAGGGGGGAGGGGGGACACAGGGGAAGGATCCCCTGAAAGTGGGAGAGGGGGGAAGGGTGTTACAAGGGGGGGTTCCCCAGCAATGGGGGGTTCTGAGTGACATTTCCCCTAGATTGGGGTATGGTCATTGGTGGGCAGACGAGAGAGAGGGGTTTGGGGAAGGGTCGGGTAAGTGGTGGTAGGGATGAGGGACAGAGAGGGGAGTGGGCTGTTTGTAGTGGGGGCTGTGTTGGGGACTGGGGTGGAAACCTCTTTGATGATGATGGTTTTGAACAGGAGGGGTTAGTTTTGTAGTGGAGACCTTTCATTTTCACGGAGTGGGAGTATTGTATTTTAAGAAAAAAGTAATTAGCTCGTAGTCATAATTTCAATTTAAAATTCAGTTCATGCGTCCCTTCAATACAAAACATCTCCATCGGACCCTTAAACTAAGTCTTATACATTCAACACACTTGGAACAACGTTCCTGAAATTGTGACTAAAGCGCATTTTCAAGCTAAAACTGTGACAACACAGTCCTTTGAGATTGGGTCGAGTTGTGTCGAGGATAAGCTTGGCTTGACTGTCTGACTCATTCCAAAGGCTGCAACATATGATGTAAGCCTGAGGGACGTTGGTTCATTTCCCAACCTATAAACCAGCATTATGTTTCCCGACCATGAGGAAAAACAGTAAATTAGGTCACCATCAGATGAACTTTTGATGAAACGGACCACTTCATTTTTGCAACTTTTTTTGATCCAACTTAATCGAAAGAAGATTGAACTGGCGTTGCTGCCACTTCGTGGCCTTTGACATGTAAGAGTCATACAAAAGTCGATTGTTACGGTATTTCTTAATGTGAAAAAAAACACCTAAATACGAAAAAACAAATATGTAAAGTATACCTACATTTTAATATGATAGTACGATACCATAAATGTAATGATTGAAGTCATTATAAAGCTGAATAAATTAGCACTACTTTGTAGAATAGGCTCATTTGTCTCTGTTCGACTTGTAGGTCTCACAGTGAGGTATGTTTTGACCATTACGCTCTACAGTTGCGCAAAGCGCTAGCTATAACCTACCTTCGTGCGCCTTCGTTACTCTTTAGGCAATTGTGTTAATCTAATCCGCGCTTGGAAATTAAAATTGATAGGGAAAGTACCAGATGCAATCGTAAGCTTGTATCATAAAAGTGCCTCAGCAGTATGATGGTATCATAAAGTCCCCCACCCTGAAAAAAAAAGGTAAAGCTGTTTCAATTTTTTGTAGACTCGTTTGGGTGGAACATAGGTTGTCGTGGTGACTGTTTTAAACATGCATATACACACATAAGCACGCAAACACAAACATAAAAACACATATTTATTTATTTACTGATTTACTATTTTTTTTATTTATGGATTATGTTTGTTTTTTTTCTTTTTATTTTCTTGGGATTTTTTTTTTTTTTTCTATTATAAAACTATGGTATATTCTTCTCTTATATCTCTCATCATCTTTCAAATTCTTTCAATTCACCTTCACTACCTACCTACCACTACTCCTAAGGCTTATACAGGGCCCCCCTGCAAACATAGCTTTGTTGTCTCCCTCCAACCATTAGAGGGGATGCATCTTGCCACCCGCCCCAACCATGGTGGTCAAGGATGGGGTGGGGCCCCCGGTGGGGTTCCGGCTAACGCAAGGACCGAGCATTTTATCAGTGGTTGCGCCTCCCTTTTCATCGCCCCCCACCCCCCAACCGAATAACAACAGTGTCTAGGGCAACACTCTGGCTAATACGGGTGTGAGTGTGAGTGTGAGTGCCTTGTGTGTGTTGTGTGTGAAAGGATTATGTATTCTGTTAGATGATCAATATTAATGATTTTTTTATGGCTTTGGCCTTGAGGCTGTAGGGGGGTAACTCATTTTTTTATCGGACCTAAGATGATATAGGCGGGTTGGGGGGGGAGGTAGGGGGAGGTGTAGTGGCTGGCCATTGCTCGGCGCTAGCACCGTTGATTTCCCTGATCAGCAATGCCTGCCCACCCTCCATCAGCGTGATGAGGGACTGATACAACCTTGCTTTTGCACCATTGCTGTGGTGCCAACCGACCTCGTGGGCTAGGGAGAGATCTGGGTTGGTTGATGTTCCCCCGTACTATACATAGACTAGCGAGAGGATGAGATAGATGAGTACTGGCAAGAAACTGAGATAGATGAGAAAGTAATATAGCTTAGTGGTTAGAGCACCGGTTGGAAATGCGCATAGTGGTGTGAGGTTGCCGATTCAGATCCACAACCTTGCGCATGGACACCGGTAGGGCGTTAGAATGACACACGGTTGGATATACACCCCCTTGGGCTGACACATGGTAAGTTATTACAGACACTGCATGCGCACCACTCAAGGGTTGTCCACGGTGTTGTATGTCGGATCTTGATACTGCATGAGTTGCTTGTCGCTGTTTCTTATGGTTGTTCTGTTGATCTCCGAGTCTGGCATATCACACACAGGTGCTGTTTGCGATTGTTGCTCAAATGGTAGAGTCTTCAGGTCACATGTCATAGATCATGGGTTCGAGTCCGGATTGGGACTTTAGGGGGGCCTTTTCCAACTTGGCCTGTCATCTCTTCAGCAAACATGTAGTTCCCTCTGCATAGTAGTACTACACATATCTGGCCTTCAGGCACATACATCTCACTGTACACTTACACAGAGCACACATAGCCTTCAGACAAACACAAACATGGCTTGTGAACATATGTACACAGCCTACGGGCTCATACAAACATACATAGCCTCTGACACACATATAGAGACAACTATGATACGGGGCTGGGGGGGTCTATCTGGTATATGACTGGATCTACTCATGCATGGCTTAGCTCTAGGGTCGGGTAGGGATATAAGTCGTTCCGGCTAGTCTGAGTTCCGCCTAGCCTTGGGTAAGTTAGGGGAAGGACGGTAGGATGTGTCCGTGGGCGCTGGCTTGTCTTGCTTAGGTACTCCTGCTGGCTAGACTCTCTATATTGGGCCTGTAGAAGATTGCATGAGCCTGGCGTCCAAAGTTCCCATACCGCGAGGTTCGTCGGGTTCCGCCTCCACTAGGCTGGGGGGTTGGCCCAGCCTTGGTGCTCGTCACTGCTGTCTGGTCCAAGTTGCCCTCGATACTGGTAGAGTGATGGTCCTGAGTGCTGGTCACACCGAGGTAGGATAGCAGGGACAGGGGGTGCGCGTGGGGATGGGTAGGGTAGGTGGCCCATCCTGTCAGAACAACCATTGGCTGCCGCTGCCAGCAGTCACCGCGGGTCTGGTCCGTGGCCTCTACAACAAAAAAAAAATGACAAAAAAAAGAAAAGATGGCATAGGCGGCAGTAACGGAGGAAATCAACCGCATTCATCAGCGCGTCAAATGCAAAACCGACCCCTCATTTCCGTGACAAAGGTCCTCAACCCCGAAATGGCCCAGGCAATGCTAGGACTGAAATGGCCCTATGGCTCTCCGCGGTAAGCCAGAGCCCCGAGAGGATGTCCAGAGACGCCCCTCAGCAGCTTCGACGAGTAGTTACCGATGTGGGCTCGCAGGAACGGGCCGACGACCATCCATAGCGTTCTGGAACGACACGGAACTCGAAGGCGAAGTATTTATTCCTGGAATACAATCAGCTCGTCTCTTTGTTTCGGCGCCGTGCTGACTCCTGTTTAGGGCGGGGAAACGCTCCGCGAAGACTCTTCACACTCAGGACCAGTATCGTGCCGTAAGCCTGCGACAAGTCGGCGCAGAACGAAGTGTCGAGGTGCTGCAGGCTTGCGGACGCGCCATCGCCAGGGTACGTGGGACTGTGTTCTCTCTCTCTCTCTCTCTTTCTCTCTCTCTCTCTCTCTCTCTCTCTCTCTTTCTCTCTCTCTCTCTCTCTCTCTCTCTCTCTCTCTCTCGCTCGCTCGCTCGCTTATATCCACGACCTCAGCGGCCGCGCTTACCACGCACGCGTTCGGACACTCTAGGGGTTTCGTGATTTGAAGCAGAGGGGAACATCAACGGAGGACGTAGCGGTATATTAATGTTCCCCATCAGCCTCCACCTTACCCCTCCTCCTTTAGCTGCATTCACTGTCCCAATGTCTTTTTTGCTACGCCCTAGCTTTCTGATTTTCGCTCAAGGTCGAAGCCGGTGAACACTACGGCAGGGCGAGTCCACAACCCTCCTATTCGCCGTCACTTTGGGGCCGCGTGACCGAATTGGGATATGATCTTTCTTCCTCCTCCCCCCGTACCTCCTTGATAGTTGCTCTCTGCGAACGTTAACGATTGGTTGTGTCGCTTGATTACGTGCAGCTCGTTCCTCTCTTTTGTGTGAGCTATGTCGTAGGAAAGATTCTCTTCAGCGACGGCTGAATAAGGAAGTCTTGCTGAGATTTTGTGTCGAGGAGCGCTCGGAAGATTTGATCTGCGACCTGCTGACCATGGACTCGAAAGTAGCTGGTCATTTTGTGATTGTAGCCTACATCGCCTTCATGGATCTGATGTGCACTCGGTCGATGTCGATTGCGGTAGCAGTACTCGCCAACGCAATGGCCGCCCCACATGGGCTGGGTGCTCTACGCTACCTCGGACGTATCATCCGCTACTTTTGAAGAGAGAGAGAGAGAGAGAGAGAGAGAGAGAGAGAGAGAGAGAGAGAGAGAGAGAGAGAGAGAGAGAGAGAGAGAG